ATAGGATATAAATCCGATATGAATAAATTAGGATTTTGTCTTTATTACAACGGTATTCACTATGATGCTCTTTTACCTTTTCAAGATAATCCTCAACAATTTTTACCACACTTTGACTTGATTAATATGAGTTTATAACAAGATTTCAATAAAACAACCAAGTTCTCATTCATGCGATTGAATAGAATCTCCGAAACTAACTCCTCGCCGCGTCCTGTGGGACAAAAAGAGGGCAACCACAGGGCCTAAGGGGCGGTTCCTTAGTGCGCTCAAGGATGAATTATTTTAGACAGTTTGATCAAAACTGATCTGCTGTCAACTTCACTTTTTGAAGTACACCTAACACTCGGATTTAAATCCGAAGTTTCCACATTTATTTTTGACTAATCTACTTATTTGTAAAACAGATTGACCTGTTTTATCATTTTCATTATATCGAGCACAGCATAAATCGAATGAATATAATCCATGAGCAGACGTAACGAAAAAAGCTGTTAAACCTAAATAATCCACTTTTTTATATTGATCATTCCAGAGATCTGGGCAAACACACAGTGCACCAGACTCAGCTTGGTCAATTAATACAGGTCGTATTAATGATCTATAATATTCAGCTAATTTATGTACATTATTTGCAATTGTTGGTGGTGTTACTAGAATATCTTCAGCATTAATTGGTCCTTGATATTTTTGACCTAAAGATATAGAAATAATCATCTATACATAAATATATTTGATAACTCACAAATATTCATAACCGTTTGTAAGGTAATTTTCAATCCTGGATCAGAAACAATATTGAACGGACGAACAGATGAGCATATCCATTTTGTTAATTCATCTCGAATTAATGTACAATCGTGAGCAGTTAGCTTAGATGGTGTGGATCTTTTAGATTTAATAAATTTGTCCATCGGCCCTTCTTAATTATTTTCCGATGATGATGCTTTTGAGCATACATGTCGTAATAGATATTTTGTACTTCCACTACCACCATATTGATATGAATAAGTATCTTTGCATGCAAAGCAACTGGCAAAACCAATAATTCGTTGGCAAGAACCATCTTCAAAACGTTTAGCGGGAAAACCAAATGTAGACCAAGCAGGTGATGAGACGTATTTTTGATCATTTTTGACGACCATAAATTGTTTTGATTGATCTTTTTGTTTCAAAAGATTTTCAATTGATGATGTTGAATATTGTTCGACTAAGTCTGTGCTTGATGAAGAAGATATATCAATACAATACATTATATGATATGCTAATATAAACCAATAGTATGAATTAATCAATAGTATTAATGAATTAATAAGATAGTATAAACCAATAATATAAATCAATCTATAATATAAATGTGAATCTATAATACAAATATGAACCAGTAATATATGTCAATCAATTAAAAAGAAAATTCAGAAAATATTCATCTAAAATTAAGAAAAAACAAAGGATAAACAATAGCTGACAACAAATCAACAAGATGATGAAATAAAATAAATAAAAATAGACCATGGTCATGGTCAATACAATGTAGACGAAAGTTATTATTAGTCATAGATTTGCTCAACCAGTAGGAGAGAAATCATTTTCCTCTTATAGTGACATATATATGTTTAAATGAGCCAATCGAAAATCATGTTATATGATTAATGATGAAATTTTTATTGAAAATAAAAAAAGGCATTACAGACAGGTGGCCTGCCTGGCCTGCCTGATCTATGCCAGACTTAAAAATCATGGTCTGTGCCTGCGTCAGGCAGGCCTCTGATATGTACGTTCACGAATTAGATAAAATTTTGATACAGTTCGATAGCCCACGTTCATCACTGCTCATATCAGTAATTAAAATGTCTTTTCGTGAATTGGAGCTCTGTTAGGGTGATGTCGCAAGCTGACATCATCCCTACTTCATATAATCCTCTATCTTCTCTATCTTCTATCTTCTATCTTCTCTATCTTCTATCTTCTTTCATCTTTATTGGTATTCTTTCTTCTTGCGTTCTTTATACATATATATTATGTAAAGTTTTGGTTTACATTAGAGAATAAAATTCGTGCATAGAGATCATCAGCACGTTTACCTATATCGATAGGAGAAAGGGAAAGAGAAACCCTAACAATTGGCGACCCTGTAAAACAACATCAATAACGTAAACAAAAAATTAAATTATTATTCGATTAAATTATTTAACAAATTACATTCATTAGAACCTCTTATATAGAGATTCGAAAAAAAACAAGAAAAAAAAAACAAACATCAACTTCTAAAATTCGATTATCTCGTTGTGCTACGATCTAACATACACTATCTTGACCATTAGGTGAGGAAATTTTTATTTATGTTACGTATCATTTGTAAGGTATACTTTTGAGTAAATCGTTTCTTTGGGATTTCAAACGATAGATTCTTATTAAATTTTTCGGAAACCAAAAAAAGTGAAGTCAAACGGGGAGGGGGGATCGAAATCAAATTATTTTAAGACTATTGATTGAATCGATAATACTAAGCAGAGATTCTATGAGAAGAATTTCGTTGATATATATATATTTCATATTTTATTTATTCATTATTGATTAATTATCGTAACATTAATTATTATATATTACCTACATTCATTACGGCTACCGGAACAAGATTTCAAATTAAAAAAAAAACGGGAACTATTATCATATAAAATTATTACCGATTCATTACACCGTACAAAGTCAAAATTAAATTTAAACACGATTACAATGGCTGATCAGACATTATTGCCAAAAGCTCGAAAAGCTCGATTCGATGATTTACCAAAATTTTCGGGACATCCTTCGGAGGATGTCGAACGTTTTTTAAAAAGCATTAAAAATATTACAAAGGCTAACGATGAGTCAGAAAATCATGAAATCCTCGAAATCGTTCGTGGAAAATTAATTCAATCCGCAGGATTATGGTTCGATAATCATGAACATGATTTTAAAAAATGGTCAGATTTTGAAACTGCATTTCGAAATCGTTATTTCTCATCCACAATGATTCATAAAAAATTTGATTTATTGAAACAACGAAAACAATTGCATAATGAACCAGTTACATCTTATTTTGATGATGTTGTTAATCTATGTAAAGAAATTGATCCAACTATGTCAGAACAAATTATGATTAAACATTTAATGAGTGGAATTAATCCTGATTTTCAGAAAGAACTTTCTCGTCGTGAATCATCTATGAATACATTAAATGAATTTTTAAAATATGCTAAAATCGAACAAGATTTATATGATACATTTGAAAAATTTCATCGATTATCAATAGAATCTACAAGAA